TATTATCTTTCCAAAGAAAGCTGCAATTATTAGCATAACATCATTAAATCTTAAACACAATCACCCGCTTAATTCTATGACTAACTCATATGCTACCAAAAATCGAACACTACCCGAAGCCGTCATACAAGAAATTCGTTTTTATATGGCCCAAGGAAATCTTAGTACAATAATTCAGTGCAGACTTTTGTCAGCCAAGTTTCCTGAGATTACGATATATCTACATGATGTTGAAAGTGAAAATTCAGTAATAAAAAGCATTCTTCAAGGTCACCCCAGTCTTTGCGAACTTGCTGCTATACTAGATCTTCGGCTATGTGATGAGGCACGATATATTAACTACAATGAGTGGTACTATGCTAATGCAAGTATGTAGTTGAGTGGCACTTCTGCAGAATGTTTTTCCGAAATTGACTGTATTCTCAAAGAATACCTTACTGAAGAAATGCTTTCCTGACAAAGACATGAAATTACGACAATTGCTATATTATTACACAGTAATGGAAAGTGATGAATTACCTGCTTCTGAATCTAGTAAGGAAAAATATAATACACAACAAATTTATTTGAATTCTCTTGTAGCAGACCTCCTTTCAAATAAAATTATCAAAATATATAGAACTTGACAACGTAATTGCGTCTATATTAACTTTGTTATTATTTTTGCTGATTATTCCCACTTATGCATATGCATGTTACTTGTTAATCATGGTTTAGTTTACTGACATTTTTGGCATATATTTTCTATTGATAGTGTAGTATTCTTTCATATAATACTATTCCTAAACATTGGTATAAAAATGAAAAAATGCAGGATTTATGTTTAGATGAACAACCCTATATAAAGAATAATGGCATAGCACAATTAATAGAAGGTTGCTTACCTTGCCCAAACTTTTTCCTATGCGCCAGATTACCAAGTTCCATAGTAATGATGTTTTTAGTTCTGAAGTTCGCCATGCAGTTCAGAAATGACATGATTATGGAGAAACTTTTAATCTTGCTCAGAAGACGGTTTGGTCTGCAGTTGAGGCGGGTGGTAAATCCCTTTGTTATCTTAAAAAAAGTCTGAATGATTAGTTTGCTGAAGAACAAAGGCTAACAAATATTAACAATAATAACAAGAAGGATTTTGATCCTAATCAAGTTGAAAATCTAATTGAATACTGACAGAAAGGAAGACCTTCGATTAAATGGCTTAAAAGTAGCTTTGAACAAGTTAAAAGCAAAAAGCCTATTACGCAAAACAAATATGGCAAATATGGGTAGTTGGGCATTATGCACCAACTTGCAAGAACTAGAGTGAATAGTAGAATTAAGCGGGTGATTGTGTTTAAGATTTAATGATGTTATGCTAATAATTGCAGCTTTCTTTGGAAAGATAATA